TGTGTGTGTGTGTGTGTGTGTGTGTGTGTGTGTGTGTGTGTGTGTGTGTGTGTCTCACACGTGTCCTGTTTCATGTGCAGCTACGAAGGCCGAGGAAAAACCGTCCTCCAAGACCAGGACACAACTCCGATGTAAGTGACACATTCCTGTGACAGGAGCATAACCTGCAGAGACAGATCAAAAGGTCAGAGGTCATCAGACATCATCAGGTCGTGGTGATTAGCAGCAGCAGTAGTGTTAGTAGTACTTGTAGTATCAGCAGTAGTACCCTGCATGCCGGAGGGGCCGAACTCCTGCCTGGTCAGGTAGATGGTGTGGTCGTGCTGCTCGGCGTGACTCTGCTCCCTCTGGTGGAGGTACGACCAGCCACAAACGTTCTCCAGACTCTTCTGAGGGTTCCCCACAGAGATCAGCTCCTGGGACTGAACCAGGGACACTGTTGGTTTTTAGTATTTAACTTCCTGTGTGTGCAGGGGTGTGATGGAGGATGGACAGTGTGCTCAGTCTTTTTCCAGAAACATTGAGAACCAGTTTTGTCTCTGTTCAGCAGAAAATATCTGACAGTCTTTGAACTCACTACGAGAGTTATAAACTCAAAGTATCAGCCCAGTGGGACTGAACACCAGCAGTGACCAAACAGGTGGAGGGGATCATTTGAAAACTAAGCAGAAAATAGTCAGTCAGCAGCATCAGCACCTCCCTGCCCCTCTCTTGTCTCTCTAGACAGAACTAGTGATATGAAATCTGGAGCTTCAATGTAAAGCTGCATGAAGCTAAACTGATCCTGGGAACTTACTTGATTAAAACTAAAGAATAAAGATGATATTTAACAACAGATTGTCACAGGTCTGAACTGAGAGTTCTTTTGAGCTGTAAAACCAACTCAGAAATCTTCTCTGAACAACAGAACGATGTCTGGACCAGGAACCTTCAGCAGCTGTGAGACAGTTGAATACCTTTGTTGGTGACAGCATGATGATCCTGACCAGGACTACATTGATGTTGGCGCCCAAAGAATGATCCTGATAGATCTCATTAACCTGGAACAAAGAGAGAGAAGCACATCTGGAGAAATACTAGAACGTCATCTAGAATTAATTCTCCTAGAACTGCAACCTCCTCATGGGTTCCTGTTGTTCTGCAGCTGTGGAGTCACCAGACTAGTAAACCGATTCTAGGTGTCAGACAAAAACTGGCTCATTGACCTTGTCCAGAGGAGGTAAATTATCCAGACATGGCAGAGGAGTTCAAAGGAGAGTGGCTGGGACTCATGAGGTCTGTCTGGGCAGTTTTGCATTGATGTCCTTTCTGAATGTGGAGTTCTCCACAAACCCAAGCAGACCCAAACTACAACTTGGAAGAAGACTGACTCATCTCTCTGGTTCAGGTCTGAGGCTTCAGCAATTGGACCAGGACTGAAGGGGATTCTGGTTATTGTTGGTTTTCATGTCTCTACAGCGTCTCCTTGAGACGTGGTGAACAGTATCACGATGTTCATGGTAAAAGAAAACTGGAAACCTTCTGTCACTGAGCCGGACAGTTGAACACTTTTACTCTCACAGGGATGATGGAGTGCTCAAAGGAGGTCGATCATGTAATGAACTAATCAGTAAGTTTACCAGGTAAGACCAGACTCACCACGACTCATCACTTTAACCACCACACCAACATGTTTCACCTACTATGTTCATCAGGGTCAGAAGGTATTTCTGAATGTTATCTCGGCCGTGGAAAAGAAGAACAGAGTAATCCACCGCTAACAAGACCTGGAGGAAGAGAAGAGAACAGGAGGATACAAGAGTTCAATGAACCCTCAGTTCAACAGTTCATCCATGTGTATATTAAACAGTTTGTTAACCTCGATGTTGAATAGCTCAGCCTCCTCAATGTAGCGCCGTCGTCGAGCTGAGCCGGACGCTGACCACAGCAGGTTCTGGTTCAAGTTCAGAGAACCTAAAAGAGGACCTGGAGACGACACAAGAATAACCTCTGTCATCAGTTCAATCATCTTTACACAAGCAGTGAAGTCGCTGTAACATTCATCTCAAATGTAACAAACTTTTAGTCGTAGTTTGTCAGTGACCTCAGGTGACCTCAACCACCTTCAGGTGACCTCAATGACTCTCAGGTGACTTCAACAACCTTCAGGTGACCTCAATGACTTTCAGGTGACCTACAACCTTCAGGTGACCTCAATGACTTTCAGGTGACCTACAACCTTCAGGTGATCTCAATGACTTTGAGGTGACCTACAACCTTCAGGTGACCTCAATGACTCTCAGGTGACCTCAACCACCTTCAGGTGACCTCAATGACTTTCAGGTGACCTACAACCTTCAGGTGACTTCAATGACTCTCAGGTGACCTCTATGACTCTCAGGTGACCTCAACAACCTTCAGGTGACCTCAAAGACTCTCAGGTGACCTCAACCACCTTCAGGTGACCTCATCGTCTCTCAGGTGACCTCAACCACCTTCAGCTGACTTCACCATCTCTCAGGTGACCATCATACTGATGTCTAGCCGTGGTGTTGTGTGTTACAGCAGCTCATCATACACAGATCAGATCATTTGCAGATGCGTCGTTTGTTCTCTGACCTGAGGACAGAACAACCAGGTGTCTGGATCTGCAGGTAAGTTATCAACACGTCAGTGAGCAGGAAGCAGAACGAGTCTCTTGGTCAAAGTTCAGACTGGTTCTACTGTCAAACGCTGTGTTTTCATTGGTCATTGTAGGAAGCAAACAGCTGTGAGTCCTCAGTTTAGTTGTGTGTTGGTCTAAAGTCCAGACACACTGTGTTTAACACTGCCCCCCCCCCCGCCTCTGGTAGATAAGACAGGGTTATCTAACCCTTGTCCCTGCAGCGGTGTCTCCTGGAGAACAGACCACGACATGTGACAGGATGTTTTCAGTCAGACTAAACATGCGGGTCATTGGACTGTTGTCCTGTAAAACTCCTGAATATGATATTTGTGCTCCAGCTGTGCTCATCTGTAAACAACAATGCCACAGTCTAACATCCAACATGTGTTTGCCTCTGTTGAATCTGTTGTCAGGGAAATGACATCAGCGATCAGAGACAGACCACTACGGGCTGAGTTCAGCTGAAGTGATATGAAGCTCTCTCCTGATTGGCTGAAGTTTTGAAGACGGCAAGTCAAACTAAAGACAGCGAACTACAATCCATCGACTCTGAGCCCAAACCTCCAAAACCTCCAAGAATCTGTAACTGCCACGTCGCAGCTGACTCTGTGTGTGTGTGTGTGTTGTAAAGCTCCCGTTGTCTCTGCCAAGTTTCCTGGAACAATTTCACTGTTTCAGTTTGATTCTTTCCTTCTGCAGAAACAGCGCAGCAGATGATCTGAAGGATTTCAACAATTACACTGTAAAAAACACAGTTCATCTTCTGTGTATCTGAGGCTCAGAGCTACAGCAGCTCTCTACAGCATTCATGACATACATTCATCTTTTATAAAGACGAGTTCCAACAGCTCCTCTTTATAAAGGTCAACACCACCACCTCACATACAACATACATGACAACATCACAACAAACATCAGAACATACATCACAACATACATCACAACAAACATCACAACATATATCACAACATACATCACAACATACATCACAACATACATCACAACATACATTACAACATACATCACAACATACATCACAACATACATCACAACATACATCACAACATACATCACAACATACATCACAACATACATCACAACATACATCACAACATACATCACAACATACATCACAACATACATCACAACATACATCACAACATACATCACAACATACATCACAACATACATCACAACATACATCACAACATACATCACAACATACATCACAACATACATCACAACATACATCACAACATACATCACAACATACATCACAACATACATCACAACATACATCACAACATACATCACAACATACATCACAACATACATCACAACATACATCACAACATACATCACAACATACATCACAACATACATCACAACATACATCACAACATACATCACAACATACATCACAACATACATCACAACATACATCACAACATACATCACAACATACATCACAACATACATCACAACATACATCACAACATACATCACAACATACATCACAACATACATCACAACATACATCACAACATACATCACAACATACATCACAACATACATCACAACATACATCACAACATACATCACAACATACATCACAACATACATCACAACATACATCACAACATACATCACAACATACATCACAACATACATCACAACATACATCACAACAAACATCCCAACATCACAACAAACATCACAACAAACATCACAACATACATCACAACAAACATCACAACATACATCACAACATCACAACATACATCACAACAAACATCACAACATACATCACAACATACATCACAACATACATCACAACATACATCACAACATACATGACAACAAACATCACAACATACATGACAACATCACATGACAACATGACAACAAACATCAAAAGATACATGACAACATCACAACAACCATCACAACATCCATCACAACATCCATCACAACATACATCACAACATGACAACATACGTCACAACATGACAACATACATCACAACAAACATCACAACATCCATCACAACATCCATCACAACATACATCACAACATACATCACAACATACATGACAACAAACATCACAACATACATGACAACATCACATGACAACATGACAACAAACATCAAAAGATACATGACAACATCACAACATCCATCACAACATCCATCACAACATCCATCACAACATACATCACAACATGACAACAAACATCACAACAAACATCACAACATCCATCACAACATCCATCACAACATACATCACAACATGACAACATACATCACAACATGACAACAAACATCACAAACATGTATGTACATGTGGATATAATTGACTGAAAACTGAATCTGTTCTTACCTCGGAGGAAGTCATCAGTACTTTGATTGACAGCTTCAGTTTGATTGACAGCTTCAGTTTGATTGACAGCTGGCTTTTTCTTGATGGCTGAGGAGCGATAAACGATGTGCTGTCGTCCTCCTTCCTCCTCCTCCTCCTCCTTCTTCCTTCGATCCAACGGCTCAATGAAGAACTCCTCCTCACCTGTTTGGATCATCCCTGCCTGAGAGACACAGAGAGCTGTCATCTACTGATTCTACTGTATCTACTGAATCCATTGAATCTACTGAATTTATTGTATCTACTAAATCTACTAAATCTCCTGTATCTACTGAATCTATTAAATCTACTGTATCTACTGAATCTACTAAATCTACTGTATCTACTGAATCTACTGTATCTATTGTATATAATGTTCTATCTATCTATCTATCTATCTATCTATCTATCTATCTATCTATCTATCTATCTATCTTCTCATCATTATTCACACCTGTGGGAACTACACCTGTGTGAAATACCACCTGTAGTTCTTTCCTCACTTCAGTCCCTGACATCTTTAGTTGAAGTGATTCCTTCGGTCTTAGACAAAGATAAGTTAAACCTAAAATACTCAAGTCAACAATGCCGGCGACAGTCAGAGCAGCAGCCATTTTGTTTTCATTCACAAACATTCACTTGGACTCCAGGATGAACTGATGAGATTATAGTGGTCAAAGGTCAAAGGTCAAGGTCAAGGTCAGTGTGACCTCAGAAAACACATTAGCCATTACTTCACACTCATGGTTAATATCTAATATGTCTGTGGATAAACAGGATGTGACCTGACGCTCTGAGGAGGAGTAAACCCTGACTGGGACTCGGAGGCGTGGCTCTCCTGAGTCCAACTGAAGCCTCAGCTCAGATATGACCAACACACTCAGCAGCTGTTTCTGTAACTGCGACTGCAGCAGGAAAATATTCCCCTACATTTTTTTCTTTCCTTCTCCTCGTCCACTTCAGCCTCCTCTCATCTGTCCTGCACATCTGGCTTAAATCAGCCGCCCTTCCCCCGCTGTAAGAAGTGAAGGTATACACTCAGTGAATCAGGCAGATTCACTGAGTTAAAGAGATGTCAGTCCGACATGTTTCACAGTGTTTGGTTTCTGTCTCTGCAGTCTGCTCCCACATGTATCTACTGTTTCTATTCACTGGTTCTACTCTCTGCTTCCTACAAGTTCACTTTACATTAAATCTGTATTTGTGTTTTATTTTGAAAACTTGAAAACTATGAAAGAACACTTAAATAATGAGGGTTTATATTGTTCCTTTGTTCTGATGAACAGGGTGTCTCTCTTCGGAGGGTGAAACTGCAGCTGTTAGAAATTCTCTGTGGCTGCACATGGAAAACCAGCTGTCCAAACATCTGCCTGCATCAGCAGCTGGAGCTGCAGCTTCATCACAGAGGACGACGATGTCGTTTCTTCATCGCTCCCATGAGAGAAACGTTTCAATGTCAGGTGACATCAAGTCACATGACCTGACTCCAGTCATTTTAAAGAACTGTTGAGTCTGTTTTACTGGACAAACCAGACGAGGATTCACACTCTGACTGAGAGTTTAAAGAGCAGAGTGTGACAGTGATTCTGATCAGGTCTGAACGGGTCTGATCGGGTCTGATCGGGTCTGTTGGTGGTTCCAGATTTAGACCTTCCTCCACATGGACAAAGGTATTTATTAAAACAGGTGGTAATATGACCATAACCATGACACTTTGTTGGCCAATCAGAGCCCTGGGAAAAGTTAGTACCAGTTCCTTTAGGTAAACAACAATGACATCACAACATCATCTACACGTCAACACTGAACATCCTGTGTAGGTGTGGCCAGAGACCGAAGGAGAGCTCAGCACTGTTCACTTTATCTAATTGTCTATTTATTTCTATTTTATAATGTTTTTATTTTACTTCCGTCTGTGTTTATGTTGTTGATTTATTGTTGAATGAAGCTTTTGTTAATAAAGTTAGTTACTAGTTAATAATCTAATCAGTTCTGAATATTAACTGAAAACCTTTATATGTTGATGAAGCTGCGGCTTTAACAGGAACCTGACGCTGATTCAAGGTGTTTGCTGCATTAAACCTCCACTGAATATTCATATAATTAATACTCATAGATTTCACTGCATCATATCGTTTACTCGCGATTGGGAACAGATGCCATGTGACCCTGAGATGGTCCACGGCCCGGGGGTTTGGACCCTTGGCTGTGTGTGATTTCAAAACTAGTTGTGGACTCATCAGTTGACACTTACCAGTCCGTCACAGTTGCTGATGGCGACAGATGTGTCCTCCATGTTTGACACCTCCCCTGTGTAGAAGCAGCTGGTGTCTCCTATTGGCTGAGAGTGAAGATGTCCTGACTCCTCCCACTCCACGGTGGCGGTGGGGGCGACAAGACGAGAGTTTGGACGCAGCCGCAGGTGGAGTTCCTGACCAAACACCGTCACGTTGTAGTAAAGCTCCACCTCCTCGGCCCTGTAACCCCGCCCCTTCCAGCTGTAGCCTGTCTGGTTAGATGATGATTCTTCTGTGGGCGGGGCCAGAGATAATGTGGGTGTGTTAATTTGAGATTGTCTTTTGATTCTGACATCGTCCACGTCAGTGTGTGTGTCCTCTGCGTGGTGGGCGTGTCTTTTTCTGCGGCGCAGGTGGTGGGCAGAGACTGATGCCGACAGGAAACGCCCCTCTGAGTCAGTCCTGATTGGACGAACGACACCGAACTCTGACAGAACCTGATGGAGAGAACCTGACAGAGACAGAGATGAATTAACTTTCATGTTTCAGTCTTGAGTCATAAGAGTGAGCACTAGACTTTTCCACACTGTGAGGACATTTCTACACTATGAGGACATTTTTACACTGTGAGGACATTTCTACACTGTGAGGACATTTCTACATTATTTCTACACTATGAGGACATTTCTACATTATGAGGACATTTCTACACTATGAGGACATTTCTACATTATGAGGACATTTCTACATTATGAGGACATTTCTAGACTGTGAGGACATTTCTACACTATGAGGACATTTCTACATTATGAGGACATTTCTACACTATGAGGACATTTCTACATTATGAGGACATTTTTACACTGTGAGGACATTTCTAAACTATGAGGACATTTCTACACTATGAGGACTTTTGGGCCGGTCCTCAAAACTTCGAATGACTGCTTGAAGGTTCAGGCTTGTCTCATGGTTCAGGTTAGATTCAGGTGTGGGGCCAGGGGTCAGGGGTCAGGGGTCAGGGATCAGGGATCAGGGAATGCATTATGTCAGACAGAGTCCTCACAAGTATAGAAAGACAAGGAGCAGTATCTGAGATGATTTAGTGAGGATGGAAAGATGCTGTGAGGTCATGGAGGTCATAGGTGTCTCTCTCTCTCTCGCTCTCTCTCTCTCTCACACACACACACACACACACATACACACACACACACACACACACACACACACACACACACACACACACACACAGAGGATATGATGAAATATGATCTGAATCCTTCACATTCCCCAAACGCCAGAAACACATAAACACAAAGATTTATGGGAAAAACGTAGAGAGAACGTTCCTCTGAGTCAGAGACAGAACAGTCAGAGAACTGAGTGAGAACATACAAAGAACCATTAGAGAACAGAGAGCAGACAAATAGATGGATGTTGTTCCATCATTCAGAATCATCTCCATCTGCTGCTTAAACGATCACAACATCACTGGGAACACTGGGACACCACAGCTGCTCAGTGATTGGTCAGTCTGCTCGGTCTGTTTCACCTTGACCTTCATTTCAGAGGTCAGAGGTCACAGTCTGGAAGACTACACAACAACCAAAGAGGAAGTTAGAGGATCAACAGTGAAGTATGAACTGTAACTGTAAGAGTAGCTACAACCAAAGTAACCATAGTACTAAGTCATAATACCAGTAGTACTAACAGTCATAGTACCAGTAGTACTATGTCATAGTACCAGTAGTACTAACGGTCATAGTACCAGTAGTACTAGTAGTAATAATGGTGTCAATATTAACTGTGGTAGATAAAGTTGTAGTACTGCTGATAGACGTAGAATCAGTTGTACAACACTAGTAGCAGTATTAACAGAAGTAATCATACTACTACTACTATAGTGGTCGATGTAGCAATACTAGTACAAGCAATAGAAACAGTAGTACCAGGAGCAATAATATTAACAGTAGCAGTGATAGCACTGACAGTAAGAGGAACAGTAGCATTAGTAGAAGTATCAGAAGTTGTAGTACTGGTAATAGTAATTGTACTAACTGTACTACTGTAGTGATAGTAGAAACACTGAAAGCAGAAGTTATAGTAGTACAACTACTATGAATTTAGTAGTAGTAGCAGTAGTAGCAGTAATAGTAGTAATACTAGTAGTAGTATTAGTAGTAGTATCACAGTAGTAGTAGTATTAGTATCAGTAGTAGTATCAGTAGTAGTAGTACTAGCACTAGTATTAGCAGTATTAGCAGTAGTAGTAGTGGTATCAGTAGTAGCGGCAGTAGTAGTAGTAGCAGTAGTAGTAATAGTAGTAGTAGTATCTGTAGTAGCAGCAGTAGTAGTAGTAGTAGTAGTGGTAGTAGTAGTATCTGTAGTAGCAGCAGTAGTAGTAGTAGTAGTAGTAGTGGTAGTAGTAGTCCCTGGGTTTGGTGGCCTGTCCCCAGTTGGTGCAGTCCCCAGAAATGTCCCTGTTTTTCACTGCTAATTAAAAACAGACGTAGCATTGGGCTTATTTTGGCCAACAGAGGGAGCTAGCTGTTAGCTATAGCACTTTCGGAATTGAAGCTAAAACCATCGAAACAGAGTTATCCAATCAGATTTTGCAGTTTTTTGTTGTCTCTAGGCAGAGAAAAGTTCAGCGGGCTCACTCATTGGTTGGGAGTTCATAACCGGGCAGTAAACTAACAAAAACAAACATATCCAAGCCCCCCAGCTGGAACGTGAAAAAATAGTTTTAATGTTGGAAGAAGTGAAGAAGAAGAAGTTTCCTGTCTGCGATGAACATCACATGACAACATTCACAACCTTTTAGGAAAAAGGCTTTTGATTCTTTTGATCTGTGGACACTTACAAACTAAAGGAAAATAAACAATTAATGAAAAGACCGACAATAGGACTTCACGACTGCTTCAATGTTCAGGAGTTGTCATTTTATCAGTCTGCCTTCACCATAGTTTATAACAGTACAACAGTTACCATGGGCAACATACATAAAACCAGGAATGTCCTCCTTTTTATTCCAGAGGTCGAAACAATGGATGTGTTAGTGAGATATTGAGCATCAAACCGTTTTTCTATTTCAGAAAGTGGCAGTAGTTGTAGTATCAGTAGTAGTAGTAGTAGCAGTAGGAGCAGTAGTAGTACTACTATTAGTAGTACTAGTAGTAGTACTAGTAGTAGTAGTAGTATATTTATATTTGCAGCAGTGTCTCACCTGTGTCGTCACTGATGTAAACTGAGTGTAAACAGTTGATCTGCAGCAGAAACACAATAATCAATAATCCATAATGACTGTCCTGCATCCTGACGGAGAGACAGCTGAGAGACAGACGGCTGAGAGACAGACAGCTGGGAGACAGACGGCTGAGAGACAGGCGGCTGAGAGACAGACAGAGACAGTCAGAGTGACGGAGCTGAACAGACTGAACTCTCTAACAGACTCTCCTCCTCCTCTGGGTCATTACCTCCTCCCTCTGTCTGACTCCTCCCCCTCACTGCTCAGCTGCGGTCTGCAGTAACAGCACAGCTGGAGTACTGCAGTATTACTCCTACTGTAGTACTACAGTAATTCTCATACAGCAGTACTCCTACAGTAGTACTTTACAGTAGTACTCAAGTGTTTATATATCTGTAGTACTGTTGTGGTCCACTAGATGGAGGCAGCTGATTTTAAACACTGAATGTTTATATGTTATAATGTGAATGTATAAGTGAACAGTATATATCTAATGTATCTATGTATTTACCAGTCTATTAAAATAACATACATATAAAACGTCTTTGTGTATTTATGTTTTTCTCATTAATTTAAACCTGTTTTATCTTGACTCTCTACTAGTACTCTCTCAGTCTCTCAGTCTTTCCTCTCTGACCTGGATGTCTTGGACAAAGCCCTCTCTTGGTTTGAATCCTCTCTCGCCATCTCTCCTTGAGTGTCATGACAACGACAAATGTCCACCCCCCCACCCCAAATGGAGTCTTCCAGGGATCAATAGTAGGAATCGACTAATTATCGGTATCATTCTGTTTTTTAACTGATAAAATAAAATATCTGTGAATAAACGTTACTGCCTTCCATTTTAAAAAGGGGAGGGGTCAAACATATTATTGGGTGATAATAATAATAATAAATGATAAAACTATTTAATTAAAGAGTATCTTTAGGTCACCAGGTGAATCAGGTCACAGGTGAGAAAATCAAGAGAAATCAACCAGTTAATTCCAGGTAGGCTCTTTGCAGCCTGTGATTACACCTGAAAATAAACACTTAGTGATCAGTTTATTAGGAACATTAAACTGATGTAGTCTGATACAGTCCTGCAGTAAATCCTCCTTCATGAAGGTGTTAATCTTCAGTTTGTGTTAAAATAGTTTCAGACAGATGTTGATGGTCATTGTGGAGCTGTGTTACATTACACAGCTGTTTCTGTCACTGATAGAAACAGGGTGGACAAAATAATAGAAACACCTGGACAGCAGTAGTTCTGTGTTGGTATATCGATCCAAATATCAGCTATCCGTCCTCTTGATTACCGATGATCGGTATTGCCCTGAAAATGATCAATAACAACATCACCTCTTCTTCTTTTAAACCAAGGACAAGGACACCAGGGTCAAAGACACCTGGTGTCCGGTTTGATGAGCCACTCTCCTCTGACCTGAGTCTACGAGTTAATGTAGTAGCTTCACACACACACACACACACACACACACACACACACACACACACACACACACACAAACGCACACACACACACAGGTGAGCCTCTGTGTTATGTGTGTGAGCTACGCCACCTGCTGGACTGACATTTTAATACAGAGTAGAGAAACTTCACCTGTTCTGTTCACAGAGACGTCGTCGTGTCACTGAACAGCGTTCATCACCATGTTCTACCTGCAGAACACAGAACACGTGTAGAACGTGATAATGAACATCGACACATCAGTGTGTGGGCTGATCATTGTTCCTGCTGACATGATGCCTGAAAACCAAACTCTCATCATAATTCAACAAACAGAAACGACTGCAGCTCCAACTAAATGAATAATACATTTAAAGGTTATAAACTCAACCTTCAGCTGCCACTAAATGTCTCATTCCAGCTGCATCTCAGACCAAAACAAGTTCATGGAGCCACACCTCCACACCTGATACCAACACACGGACCAGAGAAGATTACAGATTACATCACACAGAGGGGGTGTGGCTTCGTTCTCTGCTCAGGACGCCATTACTCCACTATATCTTCACATAGAAAACAGCTCTTTGCTGCTGTATCATCATTTAAAGTCTTGTTTATATAACCTTTAATTAACATTGCTCCAGACAGGAAAAAATCCTCTGGCTACAAAACCACAAACAACATATAGAGAAAATACTGGAGCTTTCCATTGAAACTTAAATGTTGAGTAGTAACATATGTCAAAAGGTCATATGCATAATATATATAGCACATATACATGTACAGATCTACTGGCTGGAGTTGTCGTCTCTGAGAGAAACCCTCACATGAACACAGAGCTGTTTGATTTTGATGTGTATGGTTTATTCTTTACAAAGACAGAACAAAATGACTGATGTCAAATCAACAGCAAATGATGCAACATGAAGGTGACGTATTCGGTGAGTATTCAACAGGAAACATCAACATGGCTGAGGTCAAAGAGAAAGAACAGGAAGAGGAGTTTGACCTCATTATGGTGAGGTGTGTGTTCAGTTCAGCGCTCACAAAAAATATGGTCATGCACAACACTGTACATATGTATACGTTGTATACTTCACACTGTATGTATGAATTATATGTTGTATCACTATAATCAGACAAACTCAAATCACTGTTACATGAATTCAACTTGTAGCAGAGATTCTACAATGAGTCTCTTTCAGATCATCTTACTTTAAAGTTTATCTGTGATAAGAGGTGGAACAGTTTAAACTGTTGAACTGTTCCTGTGTCAGTCTACAGTCAGACTGAAGGGTGACACCTAGTGGCAGAAACATGTTGGTGCTGCTGCAGAGAGACCTGTGAACAGAGCAGAGCTTTCTCCCACAATTCACAGCGGCATGATCTGAGGAGGTGAGGAGTGTGTTTGCTTTGGGAACCTCAGAATTGCAACTTTAATCAATAATAATCTACAATCTATAATCAATATATAATCATGTATAATGTGTCAGAAATTAAACAAAATTACACGAGAAAATACATTTGAACAGAAACATAAAATCTTCACTGACGTTTTATTTCCTACGATCCTGGAAACTAAACTGGTGAAATAATTCCTGTTTGTGTTGGACCAGTAGAACCAGTGCAGTGGAGACGGACTTCCTCTGAGTCAGTCCACTCTGTCCGGACCCAGCAGAACCACTCTTACCTGATACACCAGGTCATCATGTCTGTGACTGTGTGAAACCCTCTGACCATCAGTTCACAGTTTTATGACACATTGTCATAATCATCAGTCTCAATTCGTCCTTTATTTTTAAAGGGAGGACATTTTGTTTTTTGGTGATATTAAAAAAACATTCTGTATTTTGATGCTTTAATGAATGTGTTGTAATAATGGTCTTGATACTGATCATCATTTGACATGTTTATATTTATTAACATGAGAGAACACAGATAACATACATGTGATATATGAACCAACATGTCACTGTTGTTCCTGCTTTAAATCTCACGTTACCAACACAGAAACATCTCTACAATCTTTCCTACAAACTTTCCTTCTCTACAACACCTCCTCTGACAGCACAAGAAAACAAGCTTTATTCAAGATTAAACTTTTTATTAATGAATCATTCAAACAAATCAACTGCAGTTTGTCCTTTAAATCACACATTAAAGAATATGATGTGGATTGTTTTGGACTGAAGAGATCACCAGTGTCTCTTTAATCACATGATGAATAATGAATAATAATTATTGAAACTAAAATGCGGAAGATCTCTAACATTAACAGAAAACTACCTGCTGGTGAAGATGATGCGTTCAAGAACAGAAGCAGAAAAATAAACGAGATGTGATCAAAACAAAGTTACACACAGTTACCATGATTATTTTCCCTTTATATCATTTTAATAATGTTATAATGAGCTGAAGATGATCTTTAATTAATATTACATATCACTGTTTAGCACGTGCCTTTTTCACTGCTGCAGCTATACCTATGACTGCAGCTCCCAATGCAACTCCGACTGCAGCTCCTACTGCAGCTCCTACTGGACCCCCCACAAGTCCAACTGCTGCTCCAACTTCTGCTCCAACAGCTACTTCAACAGCTACTCCAGCTGCTGCTCCACCAGCTGCTCCGAGAACTCCTAAAGCACCAGCCAGCATTCCCTGTATGAACTTGTTATGTTTCTCTGCCCTTCTTCTTGCCTCTTTGAAGGTCAGATCTGGATATTTTTTCTTAAGACATCTCATTTCTTCTTTTATGGCTCTCTCAGCCTCTTGGAGCGTTTCATTGGTGTAGTAGTTTCCTCCATTTCTCTGAACCATGGTGTTGATCTTCTTCAGCAGCTCACGGACTTGAGATGGATCTTTGTCTATGTTGTTGAAAACATGGTGTCCTCCATGACACTGACTGAGGAAGTCATGGAGAGCTTTATTTTTACCAATTACTTTTTCTATAGAAACTCCCTCTACATTCAGCTCGTCTCCATGGGTGAACAAGACCATGGTGTAAAGTGCTGCCTCTTTTCCAAACATGTCCTGAATGATTTTCACTGTTTCTTCTTCTTCTTTTGTGAATCTTCCCAACTGGATCACGAACAGGAACACATGAGGACCAGGAGCAGCCATTGAGATGGTTTTAACGATCTCTTCTGTCACCTTCTCTTGAGTTTCATTGGTGTCAAACAGACCTGGAGTATCAACAACCGCCAGTGTTTTACCTTCAAACTCTCCTGTTTCCTTCTGACACTCTGATGTCACTGTGTCAGCAGACAATTCAGATTGAAAAACCTTCTTCCTTAAGATGGTGTTTCCTGTTGCACTTTTCCCAGCTCCAGTTTTCCCAACAAGCACAATCCTGAAGTCTGACTCCTCTAACTCCTCTAACTCCTCTAACTCCTCAACACACCTTGAGGAATTTCACAAACACATTATTGATGTTGTAAAGAACAAACTCTAAATTAAACATCACCACTGTAGCATCATCAGAACCTCTATATAACTCTTACACTTAAACCCCAGGAAACAAAGTGCTGTCTTGTTGTTTTCAGACCAGTCTGGGCGACACAGAGCTGACAGGGTTAACAGTCAGTAACAGACTGTGAAGACGTGTTTTATCAGAAAACTTTTTCTTGCCACTTGTTTTCCTTCAACCACACTGAGGATCTGACTCCAGCTGTTACAGCTAAACTCTAACTGAACTTTCATTAAGGAAGTTGTGAGCAAAGTTAACAAACAGGAAATAGGTTGTGTTGAAGCTACCGCTGAGGACAGACAGCATTTCCTTATAGTTTTTATATTTGAAGGCTCAATACATCTTTCCCGATCAGATGAAAGACGTGAAATATAGTTTCAATATAGAAATAACGTTAAAATAAACTGAGTAAAACTAGTTTCATGATCATTAATCACAGCTTCATCATGCTCTATCCAAAGTTCCTGTATGTGATATTTCAATTAACTACAGAACAGGAAATTAGTAAAGTTGTAAATGTTAAAGTTGTAAATGTACTTACTCAATAACATGTATTTGTCCATGTTTGTCTTTGACGGGCCGTTCTGTGAAGTCTTGTCTCTGTTGCTGTGTTGTTAGTCACTAGTTTCACGATCATCTCGTCTCTATAACCTGCCCCTGTCTCCTCCCTGTGACACGTCACGGCCTCCCACAGCTGAGAGCTGTCACACCAGAAATCAGACATGAAACTGACGACTGCTGCCACATCCAGTCATAAAGCAACAAGTCCTCCAACCTGACAACACTGTCCCGACCCTCAGATACCACCCACAGGACTGCTCCAGGGACAGGTGTGCCAGACCTTTGTTGTCATGGTTACACTAATAAACACATTTCACACTCAATAATGAAGTACTTCCTCTATATGTGATATACTGGGTTATATGTTGTTATATCTAGTCAGGCACCTTTTTGGTCAGCCCAGGTTGTCCTGTAGGGTCCTAGAGTTAGTGTGTGTGTGTAATTCTATATAAAAACAAGAACAGGGACTCTGGCCAAGATTAGGGTTTGAACAAGGCAAAACAGCAAAGTGAACAATAAGTAAATTGACTGCCTTAAAATATAAATTGGAATCTTAAAGTACCTTAAACCGGACATGCCTAACAGAAAGTTTGAAGCTAGGCTAGCTGCAGACTCGACCCAAGCAAACAGGTGTGACCCCGACTACTCACAGAGGGATACGAACAGCAGCAGTGTGAAGAGAAAAACTTCTCCTGTTACTCCAACAAAATCTACGGCACCACCTCTAAAGCAAAAGACTTCAGAGGGACTGAATGAAGTATCAAATACAACGCTCGTCATAGCAATTGAAAAGCTAACCTAAAAAATCCACCAATTTAGCGAAAACTCAGTGATAGCGGCTGACATCACCAGGTTAGTGGAGATGAATGCTGCCAAGATTAAAGACTGGAAGACCAAGATACATGCACTGGAAAAGGAAACATCCCACCTTCTCAATAAACAAGGAGCTGAAAGAAAAGGTGATGGAGCTGGAGCGGGACAAGAGAAGATGGAACCTCAAAATTCATGGTCTGAAAGAACAAGATGACAAATACACCCGAGGCATAGTCAAAGACATCCTGTCTAAAATAGCACCACAGTGGACCGCTTCAATGGATACAGTGGTCAAAACAGTTCACCGCCTTGGGAGGAAAGAGGAGGGAAGACACTGTCAAATCATCCTGCAGTCCCCCCTGAGACAGCACCGGGATGCCATCTGGAAGCTATCCAATAGGCTCCCTCTGCTGCATGGCCGAAGATGGAGCAAGCCACAGCAGCAGGAAAGGCAGCGTTCTTCAGAAGACATGTGGGATACATCAATGGTTACTCTGGATCAGAGAGGATACAAGGTACAAGTTAAAACAATGTTTGAAACTGTTACAAGATTCCAACTTCCTCATGTCTTCATTTAAAGTTTTTTTTATAGTTTGAGGGGATCCCAATTTTAAAGACAGGAGTGGGAAAAAAGAAAATCAGTCTAAAGATGGATTTTTGATAACTGTACTTGAGCTCATTCAAATATTCACCTCTTTTCTCAGAGCTACATTATTAAAGCTTTAGCACATTTAAGAGGTAGAAAAGGTGAAGCTGAGCAGTTATATTACTCAATAGTATTACTTCTTTTAGATGACTGCCTATTAAATGGTTTATTATTTCAATCTCATTTTATATTAATATTTTTTAATGTTTTTCATTTTAGATCAATGCTTTTAAATATGTTTTATGTTCATTTTATGCCTTTTCATGTGAAGCTCTTGGTGCAGGTCATTTCTTTGTTGTAAAAAAACTACATTTTGTGTATGAAAAGAGCTATACAGATTAAGGCTATCATTATTTTTATTTTTATCATTATTATTAATATTATTGTTAGAAAGGGGCTTTGCAACATTATTCAGAACCAAAGCTATCGCCCTTAAGTCTTTAATTTCTTACTCCCTTTTCATATATGTCTACCTTTATTCCTACAGTTTCTCATGTTTCACTTAATACCAGGGGTCTAAGAGATTCTATAAAAAGGAAATCAATCTTCCTGTTTTGTAAAAATGAAAAAGCACAATGTTTTCTTCTCCAAGAAACTTATTCGAATGACTTGGATGAAAAATTGTGGTCAAATCAGCAGAGAGATAAAATACTGTATAGTCACGGTACAAATAGGTCAGCCGGTGTTGCAATTCTTTTAAACTTCTCTGGGAAGATTGGGGTACGACTTTAATCAAAACAAAACTATGATTACTGAAATTACAAAGACTATAAAAGAGCTTTGTCAGATTTTATATTTGGTGGGGAACCCTATTAGTGTCCTCTGCCATAAAAACTAAACCTTCAAAAGTTTTCAAAGTCAAATTGAGGCCTGTTATCAGAGCAGACAGTGGTTGCTCTCAGCTTGGACTTTCACTTGGTCTTCTGCTGTTATTCTCACTGCTTAGAGAGACCAGAGTTACCAGTCACTAGGTAGGTTTTACATTTGTGCTCATGTAAGTCCATATCAACAGGCTGCCCTGCCCTCTAATTCACACAGCAGAACTGACATGTATCTAGCCTTCATTTAAGGTATTTGTGTTAATATGTTTAATTAAGGCTCTAAATGCTTCTTCCACCACTGAAAGTCAAACAATAACACAAAGTAAGAAAATCTGCAGGTTTGGAATAAATGCAAATTTTTCCTTAGTGCTGATTATAATCAGTAAATCAGTTTTAAACCTGTTGGTCCAGATGCTTGTGCGTGTGTTGAACTGTGGATCAAAATGGCCGACATCAGATAACTTTATGTCCCACAGGAACAAAATGGCCGCACGGGAACATCTGCCACACCTTCATTTCTCTTGTCAGAACAAACTTTATTCTCTCCCTTCAAACTGACTGAACAGGTGACTTCACCTTTAACCTTCTCCCTCATGAAATAAATTAGAGCCACAGTGATGACTTCAGAGGAGGAAACACACAGACAATGAACCAAAGCACAAAGTGAAAGTAAAGACAGAGACATTAGAAATACTGACAGGAATTAGAAATTAACCAATTAACAATTATTATCAATAATAATAAATAATAATACAATCATTAATTAAAAACAAACACCTGTAATAAAGTATAGAAATGACAAACACTGTTGTACTGCAGACAGAACTTAGTAAGAGAATGGACATACAGGTGTTTAAGTTATGACGTAAGAAGACAGGTGTCATCTGCACGTGAAGAAGAATAATGATTAAAATAAATGATAAATACTGACCGATCACTGTGTCAGTCTCTGCTGTGTCCTCTCTCTGCTGCCGAATGAGTCCGTCTACAGTTTGTGTCTACACAGCTTGAACTGCTGCCGGAAGTCACGCTACATTCAAAATAAAAGTCACTTGTTTCTTTTTTATTTATGCAAATAAAAATAACTAATGTGCAATAATGAAGCTACCTTTCATTTTACTTTGAAATGTTTGAACGGAAACTGTCTGTTGGGCTGTTCATGTCCAAAGGTGATCCTGAATAATGTGATGTGGTGACACCTTGTGGAAGAAACAGGCAACAGCAGGGCCTGTGAGCACCAACACACCACCAGGAGAGGACACAGAGTCAGTTCATTTTTCATTCATTCATCCTCCACATTATCAGAGTTTTTATTTTAAGGTGAAAAAGGTTGATCAGAAACCTTCAGCACTCAGTCTTATACGCTCAGACTGCGTCCTCATCACTACGTTTTCATTTCAAAACAGCGTTTTCAAACAAAACCAATCTCTGTCCAGACAATCGTTTTAGCTCTGTATCAGAAATGATCTCTGTCCAGACTAACACACCTGAAAACACACACATACCTGAGCAATCACCTACACTGAGCATGTGTGAGCCGGTGTAAACAGGAAGTAGATCGTCTCCTCTGAAGAAGGAACAGCAGAGACAGTCGCAGCATTAAAACAGAGACTGTCAGTGAACAACAGCTGCAAAGACAACAAGGTCAGTAACTCTGTCATTCATCATCATGTTGTTTTCACCACTGGTAGTCCAGGCTGATGACAGCCAATCAGGAGAGACTGTGGGTGTGACCTCATCGATTACAAAAGTCTCAGGTTCTGTCCAGACTACAACACAACCCCAGAGTTTTCAAAATAAAACACAACCCCAGAGTTTTCAAAATAAAAAGGGGTCAGCGTTGTTTCCAAAACGCTCGTTGTGCGGACGGAGGAGAAAACGTAGCAGAAGAGATGAGTTTAAAATGAAAACGTAGCAGTGTGGACGTCGCCTTAAACACACCACCGCCAGGCCAAAGAAACCTGGCTCTTCAACCCCTACAAGAGCAACGACGCTCCCAGCACCAGGTCACACTGCTCCTACCTGGAACCACAGCTCACCTGCTCACCAGCAACAGGAGAGTTAGCATGTAGTGGCTAACTGTAAGAACACAGAGGAAACCAGTGACCTCCTCAGAGACAGTCAGACAGACTCACTGGACTTTAAACACAACAGTGGAAGAGACTCAAGGACTGGGTAAAGACCGGGCTAACCTCAGCTAGCACACCACAGCTACATGTCACAACTATAAACGTTTGTTAATGTGCTCTCTGAGCTTGTTGTTGTGTCTGCTCACGTTGTCCCTCCCCCACACACCATGTGGTCTCAGCGGCCATCTTTGAGTCCACCGTCTTGTGTCTTTTCCTTTGTTTACCGCAATCTTGTTTGTAGTCTTAAAGGCCGTGTGGTCACAGCACACACACGCACACGCACACGCACACGCACACACACACACACACACACACACACACACGTATATATTTATTAGACATTGTATGTTCTATTTTTACTATCCTTGTAAATAAATGTCTGAGTATCTGCTGCTGTGTTTAATGTTTGATGCTGACTTGTACTCAGTAGGTCTTTGACTTACTGTTGACCAGGTAACTAGGTTATAGTTATTAAGTTCATTATTAAACAGAGTTCCAGATTAATAATAATAATGTGAGATCCTCTTCCTGTTTCAGGGTGGTGCCTCTGAGGAACCTTAAATCAGTTTAAAGTTTCTAATTAATATTAATATTTTCTTAATTTATAATAGACAATAATTGATTAACTACAGATAAAGGACGTTTCTGTTCACAGACCTTCAGGTGATTTTACAGGACAGAAGGGACGGGACCGTCTTCAATCAGGTCACGATTCTTCCATCAAGTCAATCTCCACTCGACATGTTTTAAATGGAGAGCACAGGTGGAGGAGTGAAACACCAGGTGAAGGACACCTCTTATCCTCCACTTACAGAACTCACCTTTAACAAGCATTCACACCTGGCCTCAGGTGACTAACTACAGTTACAACAGCCAGCAGCGCTAACGAAGCGGGTGACATCAGGCCTTGATAACGACCTGGTCTCCTCACCTGTCAGTCAGAACTGAAGAAGACTCTTGGATGAGGAGTGAGACGTCTTGTCTTTGACAGGGACATCACTCTCTTTGTGTTGTTTTCTGAAGGGACTCTTGATTGATCACTGATTAATTAACTGATTAACTGATTGATTAACTGATTAATTAACTGTTACCTGAACAGAATGAATACAGTCTGACGACTGTATGGCAGTTCCAGTTGTGGTCGTTCTAAAGCTGCTCCGCTGTGAT